CACACACACACACACACACACACACACACACACACACAGAGAGAGAGAGAGAGAGAGAGAGAGAGAGAGAGAGAGAGAGAGAGAGAGAGAATGGATAGATAAATCAGAGATTGATGAAGTAGTTAAGTATAGGGGACAGGAAAACATAGTAGAAAGATAAAGAATGGAAAATAAAGAAGTCTCTAAGAGTCATTTGATTTTTGAACCATTTAAAGATTTAAATACTAAACAATAAAATTAAGTACTCAGGAATCTGAAGCAAAACTTGATTTTGAGTTCAGGGTCAACTTTGATACATTGTAAGATCTTGTCTCAAAAAAAAGTAACGGTAGTTTATAATACATTGAATTTTTTAAAAATCAATGATTTTGTAATGATACAAAAAGGAGAGAGAGAGATAAGCTAGTTGTGGGACAGGGTAGGATAGCAGAAGCTCCTCTCAGCGAAGAGAGCCAGCCAGTAAATGGACAATTTTAAAACTTATAAAATTGTAGTTAAGCAAAAAATCATCCAAGGATGCTGAAAGCACTAGCTGAATGGTTGTTTTATTTATTTTATTTTATTTTATTTTATTTTATTTTATTTTGTTTTATTTTATTTTATTTTATTTTATGAGCAGTATATTCATAAGATCTAAGAGTCTCTCTCCATAGAAGATATTGTCTTTGTGCTGGGTAACAAGGAGCTATCAGTTAGCCTGGTCTGGCTATTAGTTCCTTAACCTACCATCTACTGAGGCTGACTGACATTGTGCCTTCTTATGGGATGCAGTATGAAGCCCACCCCTCACCTAGGAAGTACTGAAAATACTCACTCTTTAACCAGCCCACCTCTTTAGAGCAATCAATCCTTTAAACTAAACTTTCTGTTTAGTGGAAATAGAGAGGAGATTAATTTGGAGATGAGGGCTTGCTCTGTTTCCCAAGCTGGCCCGGAACTTCACTGTTGGCTTAGGTTAGCCCCAAATTCATGATCATCTTGCATCCACCTCTTGATTTCTAGAATTATATAGGCAGGTGCTGCCACACCTTACATTTGATTTATGTATCTTCCTTTTTCTCCATTCCCTTCTATGAGAAAATACTCCAGTAGATCAGAACAGATGACACTACAAGGCAATTGGCAACTGCTTTAGAAAACAGTGGTGTTCTGCTAAAGGACAGGTAGACATTAAACAGACAAAAGAGGCATAATTAACAATTACAGCATGGAAGCTGATTTGGTTCTGGATCAGGAAGAGAAAAAATGGTGAAGACTTGCGGTAGACAGTTGAAGGTACTTACGGATAATTTATAAACTGGGTGAGGGAACCACTCCCTTCTTGGCTTAGACTGTAGTGTCGTGATGCCATAGAATGCCTGTAGTCTTCCAACATCCACTGCAGTACAGAGGGTGTGGAGAGGTCTGCAGCATAACTCCTGTTGGGAGTTCAGATAGGAAAAGAAAATCCACCAATGTACAAAGGAATATTTGGAGGGGGACAGAAGAGAAAGCAAATACGGCCAAATGGTGGCCTCTGATGAGTAGTTTTTAGGGAAAGAGGACTTGGGGTTTTGCTACAAGTTCCAAGATACCCTGGAACTCATTCTGTAGCCTTGGCTGACTTAAATCTCCTGAACCTCAGGTATCAGGCTTTCAGGTACTGGAATTTCAGCCTTGAGTTACTACCCATCCCCTCTGAGGAGTCTCTATAGAGCATTGTATTGCTGCTCTTGCAGTGTCCCTAGGAATTCAGAGGGAAGCACCACGGCTTCCCTGACTGGGTCTGGCTCCCTGGCTCTCACAGTAGCATCTGAATCTTCTCATGTGGCATTTGCAGAACCATGAGAAGTTCAGTGGGTTAGTGAGTAAAAGAATAGAACAGGGAAAGCCATGAGGTGGTTCTGAGTCCCATTTCCTCCTTGTCCTATAAAAGGTCAAAGAGCCGAAGAACCACATTCACTTGCCAACATTTGCCAGCACTTGAGGCTGCCTTTGGTGGGCCCACAGTTAGAAAATTCCTGGCTAGGTAAAAGAGGCTTTCCAAGAATGCTATGATGCCATTTCCTCATGCCTAGAGTATGTCTTTGTGAATGTCACTTCATTACTGAGGCTAAGGTAGAAGTGAAGGGTTGTTGCGAATGGACATGGTCACTTTGTTCTCTCAGTAGACCTTAGACTTTCATTTTAAAACATCTGGAATTTGTGTCAGACTCTAGCATCAGCTGTGTATAGAACTGAGAGAAGAATTTGTATTAAGGTTTTGACAACTGCCATTTTAAAGAGTGGTTGTTGTGCCCCTTCCTAGACTGGGAAGGACAGACTGACTTCTGGTGGTCCTCCCACAGTGAGGTGGTACCTGATGAAGAAGCTCACCTGGCTTGGCTCTGTGGCAGTGCTCTTGGGGTACAGTACCGTGGAGAAGTACTCTCTTGTCTATTTCTTCTGATATGTTTGAAATGAAAATGTTTGCTTTCTCTATTAACTGTGATACCATCTAACTAAGAAAGTGTTGGAGTAAAAAAATATATTTTTTATCCTACTAAAGTTATTTCTTAATTTTTTTCCCTTCTTTTTTACCCATTCACCACTGTTGACCCAGATCCTTCCCGTCATTATTGCTTGCTCCCAAGGAGACAAACCCAGAGTCACGGGCAGAGGAGGACCTCTATAAATTTTTTTAATCTGGAAATGGTTCCTAAACCACAGTTTGTAAAACACTATTTTATGAGAAAAGAAGATGGGATGAAGACAGAAAGGGACACCCTTGGAAACAATAACACTGTGGTATGACCACAGGATCCCTTGCCAAGAAGTCATGAGTTCTAATCCTAAATGTGTTTCCCAAGGCGCAGTGGCAGCATTAAATGGAAAAGTGCTAAAGAGAACCCTTCAGTTATTTTTTCCTTCATCTCTCAAGCAGCTCATCATTGCATGCATGATCTCAGTGTTACAGTTACAGGTAATATCTTCCAGACCTGAAATTGCCTCTGGCTTGTCACAGTGGTAAGACCTGTACATAAGTAAATACCAGTCTATCAAGGACAGTGGCCAGTGCCATCAGAGAGGGGCAGGTCACAAGCATGGGTAGAATAGAATGGAGTGTGTAGAGTCCTGGAGATCCCTGGGAAGAAGATGGCACTGCACCTGGGTCTTTAAAGGCAAGGTTGGTCTTAGACCTTGGAAATTGGAAGGGAGGGTGTCCTGGTACAGGATTGGAACAAACAATGCTTGAGAGAATAGAGAATATGTAATGTAAATATCTGATATGCAGGATACCTGATATGTGACCCCTGTGAAAAGGTCGTTTAACCCCCCACCCCAGAGGTCAAGACCCACAGGTTGAGAACCACTGACCTGAAGGATGTGAAAGACAGAACGGAAATCTTGTCTTGTGTAGTTATTTCTCAGGGTTCTTAGCTGGATCATAGAGGAGTACAGAAGACTTTTAATTATTCTTCATGTGTCCCTTTCTAGATGGAACCGATGGCTTCAAGCAAAACAGACTGTCTTGGGAGTCTGCTGTCCCTTTAAAAAGTTCTGATAGCCCCTCAGTCACGTGCTTTCAGGTTACATAACTGTTGCTCAGAATTGGAATTCTGCAGCCTTCTGGAGTCCCATTCTTTCCCTCTCCCACCTGGCACTTTATTTTCTGTGGGTCAGATTTAGCTTCTTTCTAACCATTGTTGCGGAACTCTTGAAAAATTTGGTCTCACAGGTTCTGAAAGCTGGCAGGCCAGACTGCTCCCTGCATGTTGTGAAACCAAAGTCTTCCAGAAAAGGGGCCAGTAAAATCTCAAGCATGAGTGAACCAGCTGGAGGATGCAATGCACCCTCATCCATACCCAGCAGTTCCCAGCCACTGTCACCTGCAGCCTGAAGGAGCCCTCATTCACTACAATGTCGTGGCAGGTTCCTAATTGTAGAGATGGCAATGGGTTCAATCACTGGGTCTCAGCATTGAGGACTGAGGCTTATCAGGGCCACTCACTGTTCCTTAACTGCCTCGATTTCTGTAATGGGAGAGCAAGTCTAGAGTCCCCTCCTGCAAAGCAAATCCTTGTTGAAAGTATTCTGAGTTTGACTCTGTCTAGAATAGTCTGTTCTTGGTCCATACTGCATGGCTCTTTGTCCCAGCATGCCCTCAACAGTCTAACCTTAGTATAAATGAATTTGTTTTTACTGCCCCTTTCCCCAAAAATTTAACTTTAGGAAGCTTGCCGATACTGTATATAATATAGTCTTCCTTCCTTCCTTCCTTCCTTCCTTCCTTCCTTCCTTCCTTCCTTCCTTCCTTCCTTCCT